TTTTAAAAAAGAGAATCATTGACTGAGTGAGGCTGAGAGTGCTTGCGCATAGCCCACTACTCAAGTTCAATCTCTGACAACTGCCAAACACAAAGAACTGCAAATGAAGTTATCTACAACACACACATACCAACCTCTATGCTGTGCCTGTTACGGCAATCTCAAATCTCATTTAACCATCTATGGAGACATCTGCATTTGGGGAAAGAAACTTGCTCTTAATCAAATAATGGGACTTGACCATGAACTTCGGATTTATTCTTTAAATGCCATTATTTACGAAATAGTACTACCTGGGAGGAAAGTAGTGGGGAAACAGTCTCCTGTCATCACAGAGCGACCACATCTTCCTCGCTGGTGCCACAAAGGATTCCTCAATATGATAGGGAAAAAAAAATAGGTCGTCGTATTCATCATATACACACCTAAAGTACTAGTTTGAAGACTGGAAAACCACTAAACACCAGTCACAACATCAGAACAGATATATATTAATGTCTCAAAACACATCAGTCACTAACATTTGAATCATGTCAATGGTTCACATAACTACCTACCTTCTCCCTCTCTCCCCCCTAGACACTGGCGACCACAAGCTAGCTGACGGTCCTCGCTCTCTGTCCCTTGTTTATGTCACATGAGGTGTCCTCTCAGACCAAATATTGTGGAGGGAGTAAAAAAAGAGGCAAACATCACCAGGGTTTGGAAGGCTCTTTAATAGCAAGCGTATGGTAATTACATCGGTGGCTGAGATCCTCTCTCGCGGGGGAGGGAGGAAGGCGCGGATGCAGACAGGGACCAGTTTAGGATTCACACTGTTGGGGGCATCTAAAACAAAGGGCAACGATTTTTTTGGCAACCCATTTCACAGTTTTGTAATTTACAAGAGATTTCGTGGAAAGGAAATATAAAGGCAAAGAAAGCATACACACCCTGCGTGAAACATTTCTGCCTAAGGAAAAAGAACCCCCAAACTGTTCCTTGATTCTGCTTCTCAAGTAGATGGCTCAACTCTGCTCTCATACACAAATTAAGACTGGCTCACAGATAGTTTCAGATTTTCTCTCAGGTGGATGATTTGCTTTCTCCTCTAAAACGCTGACGGGTGGACACGGCACTGCTCTGCGTCTTTATCCATCAGCCTATCAGAAGGTACTTAAAGAATGACTCTTGAGCAACAAAAACAAAAGAAAAAACCAGGGAAAAGCAGTTTGACAAAGAACAGACTATCGGCCTTCTCTGCAGTACCGGAGAAGTTGAGGACAGTTCTGGGTAAATTAAACATTTATTTTTCTGTGGCCGGGCACACGTTTTCTATAGCTTGTGCCCATTCGGCCACATGGTGCTTCAAACGAGGCGCCTAACCTGTAATGCTCACAGTCCTCTATTTCTGCAATACAAATTTAAATAAAGATATCGACGACACCACAGTATTTATCCATTTGCCCAGGGAACAGGAGCTATAGATATTTTGCCATGGACAGCACGTTGCTATGGACACCAGAGTCTACTGGCTTTCTGGTGAGTTTCAGAAATTCTGTATAAAATCAAAGCGACTTCAGCCTTTCGGATCATACCTGGTGTCACAAAACCAAGATAACTAATTGGGTCTTTGTGGAAGAGGATGAGTTTTTAATTCTAAACAGAAAAACTTTGAGGCTCCTCTGGGTAATCTGAAGCAATGGGAAAGGGCACCTCTTTGGGGTTAACACTCATGACAGGGAAGGGGGATCTGTGATTCACTTGAAATTTCGTTGTGCTCTTTCCGCCACCAAGAAGCACAGTGGAGTGGAGCAGTAGGTGGGCTCTGCCCTCCAGCCCCCCGGGGGCATCTGGAACCTTGGCCTCCTCCACACTGAAACCAAGATGCAGTCAGGTTCAGGATCCACCTGCTAGGTGACTGGAGCCCTCAGAACTCTTAGCACTTTGGAAAGATGGGCTTTTCTGGCTGATAGCGAGTTTACCGAGGAAAGCCCCACCATATTTGCAGGACGCCCGCGGTCTCCTTGGCCGGGGGACATTTAGAAAGCCACAAAGCCAGCTCCAACACAGGCCTTGCCTCTCAACATTCAGGCTGTCTCCTTGAGGAAAGTGGGCTCTAGAGTGAATGCTGTGGAGACAGATTTCTTGTACCTTACGTGATACCTGCCTTCGGGCTTTTCTTTTTTCTTTCTTTCTTTTTTTTTTTTTTTTTTTAAGAATCAGACCCCCCCCCCAACTCTCCCACTCTCCCTCATTTCTCCCTACCCCAGGTTAAGTCCTGCATCTTCCCATGTGCCTCTTGAACCATGGGAAATCAGATTTGCTCACAGCGGTTTCCCAGCCTGTGAATTTGCCCATGCAAGGTAGATTTCTAAAATATAAATTCCAACGATGCTCTGTTAAGCACAGCCCCCCACCCCCCACCCCCGGCCCACACACTTTGTGCTCTTAGGAGACAGACACAAGAGTTCGCGGCATAGTTGTGCTGGGGAAAAGGTTTCTGTTTGTATGTGAAAAATGACAGTAGCTACGAGAGGAGAGAGTTTTCACTTCGGGGCACTGGAAACCTAATTCAGGACACAAGAATTCCTAAATCAAAGACTTTTCTAGTTCTAGTAAAATTAAAAACAAAAAAGAAAGAAAGAAAGAAACAAGTCCTACGTGCTGCTCTGAGCCTGGGAGACTGGAGGGGACGCCTCTGTGTACCTGACTTGGGGTGCTGGCAGGCATCGTGGGGGGGTCCCACCTCTCTCCCTGGCTCCCTAGCTCATTCTCCAGTTCCCCGAAGAGTGCTCCGTAGAACTACCAGAGGCAGAGACAGTGACCAGCTGCTATAAGGAAAATGTCTCTCGAACCCAGAATCAAGGCTTTCTCATGTCACCACAGGTATGACTTCCCAGCTGGCCCACAGTGATCAACAAGCCATCGATCACCACCCCCCAGTGCACACTGCCACTGTTCATGCACACACACACACACACACAAACACACACTCACGCTCTTCTTTCTACGAGATGGCACTGCCCAAAGGTAAAAATACTCATCTTTCACTCTCTTTCAGCTACTCTTTGTGCGAATTTTCCCCTCTTGGTTAAGTTCATCTTATTCCACTTCTGAAGCCACAGCCTGTCCAGGGCACAAGGAAGAGCCGTGCCTTCTGTGAAAAATCACAGACCAACAGAAACGTATTCCGAGGCAGTCCTGCGGCCAGGATCCTCTGGTTAGAATCTTGGCAAGATTCAAAATGTATTTCTCTCTCATTTCCCTCAAGGTTTCCTTGACTGTTGCTTTTCTCTCACACACACACACAAGGCAGTTTATGGGACAGCTGTGGTTAAAGCAGGAGAGGAAAACGCCCCTTGTTTCTGGAGAGTTACATGGCTTGCCCACAGTCACGTGGTCACTGGCAGAGCCAGGACTAGAACCCAGGTCTCTCTGTCCTAGCTCCTGGGTCGGTGCTCCTCCCACTGCCTCCCACCTGCCTCTTCGTGAGTGTTCACGTTTGGGAAAGTCAGGAGTGTGTCTCACTACGGAACCTCTTCTGGGACGGCCACTGCAGGCTGCCTGACTCCCTGACCCATCCGGGTGGAGCTCTGCACAGGCGAGCTCTAAGGCCACGCGCGACCCGCACACACAACACACAGCCGGGTGGGCGTGAGCGTGTGCACGGGCACGCGTGTCAGCAAGCACTGGTGGGCGTGCACACAATCAGAGAAAAGGAAGCTGTAGAGGAAATGGTCCAATTTGCTGATGCCTTCAGTGGTTTTGCCACAAAAATAAGGAACATGCAGCAACCTCCTCCTCAATCCCTGGGGAAGGACAAAGGCGAGATTTCCCCTCGGCCCCCCGAGCGGCTGAGCTGATCGCAGTGAAGTTTTTATAAACAGACACATTAACATAATAATACCTGAATGCATTTGGTCGAAGCCTAACTGCTTTTTCATAAAATACATTTTATATTACCGTCCATTCCATTTTCAAACTTATGTAAATTCAGGTTTTTAAGCCTCTCTGTATAAAATTCCAGTTTCCCTTCGAATGGAGCAAGCTAGTCAACTTTCTTCATTTCGGTGGCAGAAGTCATTCTTGTTTTTTCAGCCCATTGTGTCAAAACAGAGGCTACCAAACTTGAGCAGTATCTACAGAACACAGCTCACCATTCCCTATGCTCGGGTACAAAGCCCATAAGAACACGGGAGCAAAGCACGGAATATGCTCACCCCACCGGGCGAAACACCAAGGGGTGCTGTGTGAACAGGCAACTCGGAAGGAAATCGTTTCACTTGAAACTAGCCTTCAACGTGGTTTTCAAGAAAAGAAAAAAAATGTGGGCACCAAAGCATGGATGGAAACCGCCGCGTTATTTTACCCAATGACTTGACACTGCAGTGCACGGTTTTACTACAAGCAGCTACGCTCTTCATGGCACCAATCAATTAAACAGAAAATGTTAGATAATCAGGTTTACGCGGACATGCCTGGAAGACAGACAAGACTCCCGTACGCTGTGTGCTGTCTGCTGCCGCTGCTTTTATTTTTAATCCCGAACTATGGCCACCTAACAGGCATTGTGTCTGCGTGTTAAAACATTCCCACCCCAGATGCTGCATTTAGTTAAGGGCTGTGGAAGACGAGTTCCGCATCCTAAGTCATCGAAGGAACAAGAGATGCAAAAGGTTCCAAGAAAATGAAGTACTTTAAATAATTCCACGTTAGCATTACAAAGGATTTCCCCTGTATTTGTTGACTAAATACTGATAGCAGTGTTTCCAATTATTAAGTAGTTGTTTCTGTGAGTTGTCTTAGTATTTTGATTAGAACTTCCCCCTTCAAACCAAGCTAACCCATGACTGAAAGATTCCTGTGTTCATTTCGCTTTAAAAATTCACTACGGTTAGGTTCCTCGAAGCACCTGATGACCATTTTTTAAATGAATTATACAGTGGGATCCTTTTCTTGACTTTTCTTTTTTAAAGAATAAAAGACAAATTAAGAAAGTAAAGAAGGATGCCATTGTATTAAAAAAAATTTTTTTATCCTGGTTTATTTCCCCATTAAATTTATCTATGGCTTCAAAGTTTAAGTGGCACTTGGATTCTGAATGTTTTCATGATTTATCAAGTTGCCATCTGGTTATAAAGAGAGAACATAAATGTTTCATTTCATATGTGGGACAGTTTATAAACATTTTAAAGTAATCAATAATTTATGTCACCCCTATTATATTTTCCCGCTATTAGATTTTTAAAAGTGGCTTTGGAATTAGCATGTTTTGAAATAATTGGACATGCAAGTAACGTGTACACCTAACCATGAATCGGTTATCTATCTGAACTTATCTATTCAGGTAACTGAGTAATGGCGGAACACTTAAACAAAGGCTTCTTTGCCTCTTACCCTCGTCATCCAAAGCTAAGTGATTATTCTCTTCTGCCCTTGTATTTGCACTTGTGCAGTTTAATGACTAGATATTAAAACTCATGCTTTATAAGCAAATTCCTTCACTTATGGACACTTACAAAGTACATAAAAAGTGCAGACTGCATTTCTTCTCTGCCATGCTTTTCCCCTCAACAATGTCACCCGTGAGGACGCAAAACATAATCCTTAATACATTCAGCGTTCTCTACGTTCGAGTCCGCGAAAGTGAGTTCTCCAACACAAACTCAGGAGAGAACGGTCAGCCACAAAATGGACTCTAAATTCAAAATGGCAAAGGCTACCGAAACAACTCCATAGAAACCCACTGAAACGGAAGTAAACTTCAGGTCACTTCTGAGCAAAGCTCATCTCAGGAATTTTGTGGTCAATAAAAAGGTACTTGGTTTGAATTTGGGTGCTGGGAGTCAGACGTCCTGTTTCGAAGTGCTAACGCAAAATGCTAACCCAGGAGCACGCAACCCCACCTCAGGTACCAGGGGGTTCACTCTCCTCAGGTGGGAGGCCTCGGAAGTTTACTGCTGACTGACCCCCATTTGGGGGTGGTCCGCCTCTGGCTCCTCCTCTTCCACATCTGCACTGTACTCTTCAAACGCATCATCATCTGCATCAGGAAGCCCCAGTAACTACAGGAGAGAGAAGAGAACCAGGCATGAGCACCAAGTGGCCCGCAGACAGGAACATAATCAAAGACATCTGATCCAAATTCAACAGCACTTAACAGGACTTAGCACAGCACCTACGGATTTCCCACTGGCATCAACTGTGCCTACAATTAATTTTAGAACCATATTGGATGGAAATGTCAAAGCTTTAATGGATTGGTGCCCAAAGGACTAAGTTTTCTTCGGGAGCCTGGACATTCTCTACTTCTAAATATCAAAACATGGCAGCACACGCCACCAATGTACAATAACAGAGTGTCTATACAGGCACTCACATCTGGGATGTCAGATGTCAGCAGAAGTACAATGAACAGTGCTGACTATTCCGTCAAGATGTCAAAAATCTATCCCGCTCTGTATTTTCTTCCCTAAAAACATGTGCTGCTAGTATTTATAACACATATAAAAACGTGAAAACCACTAAAAGCTTTAACAAAATGCTTAAATCATGGTGGACCTCGAAGATGGGATCTTATATACCCACTTAAAACAGTATTCTGGGTAACTTCATGATATAAAAAGACACTCATAAATGTAAAACAAGCACGATTAAAACTGCATTTTTGTTACGATACAGATTTTCTTAAAATTTATATACCAATGCATAGGAAAAAAGACTTTGATGACATACATCCAAATTTTAGAAGTGTTGTTTATAGGCAATGAGGTAATGGGTACATTTTTCCTTTTTCTCTCTTCGTACTTTCCAGATGCTCTATAATTATCATCAGGGAAATTCACAATAAATACACAGTAAACATTTTCTTAAAGCACTGACTCGTCTTTGGCTAGAAGCTCGAGTGCCATTTGCTGGGTCTGATCAATATGAACAATGGGAGGAAGCCATGGCTTTGGGTATTCCTGGGTCCCAACTGTGATCAGAGTACTTCTGTCCCACAGCTTCTCGATGAGACTACAGTCACTGCACATGACTGCCCTGATTTTCTCACGTGGTGGCCCTCTTGGTTGATCACTTTCAGGCAACTTCGCTGAATGGCCCTATGATCCAAACTAACTGCTTTAAGCCACTCTAATAAGTTGGACCATTCTGTTTACTTTGCATTCCCTCCCTGGTGCCCTGCAACCCACACTCCCCTCCCGCACCCCCCCCCCTTCTTCCCATCTTCTGCCCAAATGCTTAAACGAGTAAGGACAAGCAGAATCCCAATCAAAATAATGCCTTTACCCTGAAGTGCTCCCACTGCAACTCTTGCCGGACTCACGGAGCCCTATAAACACACTCAGGACACCATCGGCCAGGCACTTGGTCATATTATACACAGAGCCTGGTGAGGCAGGCATGATCAGCTGCAGACACACGCTTTCCCCTCAGAGCCCAGAGGGCTGGGGCTGTCTCAAAGAGCCACTGTTGGCTGGGAGGGGTGGGGCAGGAGGAGCTCATCCCCGCTGGCCTGGACAGTGCAGAGCAATCTTGTGTATGCTGGGGGGAAGCAAGAAGCCCCATTCTCCCACTGCTGTCTCCCTCTCACACCTCAGTGGAACAAGCAAAAGATAATGTTTGCTTCTACAGAGAGAGAAAAGATGGCTACCATGAACACAGATGAGTATTTTCAGGTTCAATTTTTATTTTTTTTTTTTATTTTTTATTTTTTTTAAATATTTTTTATTTATTTCTAGGAGAGAGAGAGAGAGAGACACCGTGAGCAAGGGAGGGTCAGAGAGAGAGGGAGTCACAGACTGAAACAGGCTCCAGGCTCTGAGCCGGCAGTCAGCACAGAGCCCGACGTGGGGCTCGAACCCACGAACTGCGAGATCATGACCTAAGTGAAAGTCGGACGCTTAACCGACTAAGCCACCCAGGCGCCCCAGGTTCAATTTTTATTTTAAGGGATGTTTGTGACACAGCAAGGTGAAAGCATCAAATGAGTGACGATATTTAAGTCACTGATGAAAGAGAAATACTGTTGCCCCTATGGAGAACCCCAGAATCACCTAAATGCCAACAGAAGATGCATTAATTCAACAATAACTGTGACTCCTCACTGCACCAAAGGGACACTCCTTTAAAAGAGGAAAGGCCAAGGAGTTCTCTCTCACTTAAAGAATCCAACTGGTAGTGTCTGCCTGGAGCCCTGGGTTGAGGATTCTAAGGGGCTCAGCAGGAAAGATGGTGGTCAATTAGCAATGGCGGCCATGGGTAAAGAGGGTGCGGTGGAGGTATGCATTTACACGTTTTCCATCTCATCCTAAAGACATGTGCCATCAACTATTCTTTCTCACAATACACGTAAGTAATTCACATGGACCCAAACCATAGGTACCCCTCAACACCCTTCTCCTCCTCAGCTTAGAGTGGTTGGTAGAAGAGGTTCCAGCAAGCCATGAAAACACTACCACAACTCTTCCCCTCTCTCCTCTTCCTAGCTTCCTATCTTACCTCTGAAGTGAATTCAAAGCCCATAGTTTTAGGTCTAGAGCATCAGCCACACGTGAGGCCCTTCCCTTTTGTGGGACATATGTGGGGGCTACATCTAGAGCTGCTCACCCCCTGCCCTGAGAGGAGCAAGGAAGAACAGAAGCGATTCTCAGTGGCCTTCCCAACTTTCCAGGCAACTTAGTGCAGCATCTGCAGATTCACGAGAGGCCGTGTGAAAAAGGCACTGAACCTGGCATCCAGAAGCTACGGCTCTCGTCAGAGACCTCTGTCAAACCAGAACCTTTGCTGAGCTTCGGTGTCCTTCTCTGTAAAGTGGGCACTGCGACACCGGCTCTATGTCCAGAGAAACTATGGAGATTAAATGAGAAAGTGACTGTGGCCATGGTCTGGAAATCATAGAGTCCTACGTGAGTTACTTAGTTAGGTTATATGATCTTGGCTTCTCGTTGTAAAGCACAGCAGTTCAGGGGTGCCTGAGTGGCTCAGTTGGTTAAGCATCTGACTTTTGATTTCGACTCAGGTCATAATTTCATGGTTTGTGAGTTGGAACCCTGTGTGGAGCTCTGTGCTGACAGTGCAGAGCCTGCTTGGGATTCTCTGTCCCCCTCTCTCTCTGCCCTCCCCTGCTCACACACATGCATGTGCTTTCTCGAAACAAATAAACAAACACAAACTTTGAAAAAAATAATAAAGCACAGCAGTTCAGTTATTCAAGGGGAGTTCCTGCTGCATCTGTAGACCTCCAAACCCTGTTCCGCCCTTCCCCCCTTGGCTGTGCTCACTTCTGGATCACCTCACTGGAAACCAGTACTATCGGAAGTGTAAACAGAAGGAAGAAATTCAATTCTGTTAGCATCCTCATTTGATTCTCAGGCTTACAGTCAGCCTTCCATTAAACCAACCAATGTGATCACACTTCATACCTAGTAATAATAGTTAATATTGGTTATGTTACTATCTGCTAGGCATGGAGTTAAGCCGCTTTACATATATTAATTCCATTGGTTCTCAGAATAGCCCTATAAGTTAGGTACTATTATTATCACCCTGTTACAGATAAGACGTAGAGAGGTTGAGAAATTTGCATGAAGTTACACAGTCAGTGTCAGAGCCAGAATTCAATCCCAGGCCATCAGACTGCAGACTACAACCTGACCACCAGGTACCCAGGAGGTTCCCTTCCAGCTGTCAACTCTGTTCCTATAGCTGGAGACTTCAATGCTTTCTACTGAGTAATATACCTTTTAAAAAATTCCATGTGCAACGTTAATGTCTACACTTATAAATATGTACAATTGGGAAACACACAGAGGAGAACAGAAAAAGCACCAGAACTATAATTTGCCTGGGACTGCAAAGAATGCAATACAGACATGTAAGAATCTAGCATTTCCACCTCTTCCATCCCTTCCCATCTACAGCAGATACGTCTGCATTTAACTTCTGGATCCAAATGTTTAACAGTCAGGAAGACACATCAGAGACAGGAATACAGAAAGACTGGTAAGAATCCTGGGGTCCTTGCTTTTGGCGTATCTGCTCATTCTTCTAAAGAAAAGGAGTCAGGCCAAGAAATCCTATCTGGTACGTTTAAATTACTTCTGATAGTTATAGTCATTACTTCGTTCAGTAGAATTTTTTCAACTGACTGGGAAAAAAATCTTTATGCTCACTCTGGACAGTGGTGTTGGTATTTCTAGGGTTTGCTATGTACAGAGCTTCATTTGGGCAACATATGATCTCACATAAAAACCTCAGGGGCCCAAGAGCACCTAGGTGGCTCAGTCGGTTAAGCATCTGACTTCGGCTCAGGTCATGAGCTCACAGTTTTTGAGTTCGAGCCCCACGTCAGGCTCTGTGCTGACAGCTGAGAGCCTGGAGCCTCCTTTGGATTCCATGTCTCCCTCTCTCTCTCTCTCTGCCCCTCCCCCACTCACTGTCCCTCTCAAAAAATAAACAAACAATTAAAAAAAAAAAACTTCTGGGGCCCACCCACCCATACAGGGTGGTACTTGAAAGGTAGAAATGCCAACCCTTAAGAATTAAAGTCCTTTATTTAATGTTTTTTATTTTATTTTTGAAAGAGAGACAGAGCATGAGTGGGGGAGGGGCAGAGAGGGAGGGAGACAGAGAATCCGAAGCAGGTTCCAGGCTCCACACTGTCAGCCCAGAGGTCCAAGTGGGGCTCGAACTTACACACGATGAGATCATGATCTAAGCTGAAGTCGGATGCTTAACCAACTGAGCCACCCAGGCGCCCGCATTGTTTGCATATTTTAAACTTCATACAAATGATATTATACTTTTCATATTCTGGAGCTTATTTTTTTCACTCAACATTATGTTTTTGAGATATATCTGCAATGACACACTGATTTACGGACATTTAGGGTATTTCCAGTTTTTAATTGTTAAAATAATTAAATAAAAATAAATAAAATAAAGATGCAAAAAAAAAAAAAAAAGGAATTAAAGTCCTTTAGACCCAAGAGAGAATCAATTATCTGTAGGACTAAGTCCAGGTCCATCCAGATGGCCAACCAACACATGAAACGATGCTCAG